CTGATGTCCAAAGGTTTGACTTCAAATAATCAACAGGGAGGCAGTATGTGAGTGGCCATAAGAAAACAAGGCACAGGCTCGCCATTGAATTGGATCATTATTAAAGTTGGGTGAAGGGTACCTAGGGGGTTCATTACACTATTTGCTTTGGCTTATATGTAATTTGAAAATTTTTCTAATAAAAGTTTAAATGTTATGTATAGGAGTGTGGAACACATGGCAGGATTTCAACTAGATCACAAGTGCAACTTTTTTTTTTTTTTTTGTGGAGGATGCGTTCGCTCTGTCACCCAGGCTGGAGTTGCAGTGTGGGCGATTCAGTCCCTGTAACGCTCTGCTCCCGGCTTCAAGCGATTCTCTTGCCTCAGCCTTCCAGTAGCTGAGACAACAGGTGTGCACCACCACCCCTGCTAATTTTTTTATATTTTTTAAGTAGAGACGGCTGGGGTTTCACCATATTGGCCAGGCTTGTCTCGAACTCCCCTGAACCTTGTTATGCGCCCTGCCTTAGTATCGCAAAGGTGTGGATTACAGGCATGTGAGGTTCATCATAATCATCCATCCAGTGTGGCTGTGCTACAATTTACTTAACCAGTGTTGGTGTTTAACCAACCTATTGCTTATTGGCCACCCCCAAGCTTTTTACTAATGTAAATAATACTGTAAAGAACATCTTTGAGTAGGATAATTTTAAGAATCACTTCCAGATGTCAAATTATTTGACTATATGACATTGTCTTTTAATTTAATCTTGGGAACATTTTAAATATTTAAAAATGTTAAATCCAAGGCCGGGTACGGTGGCTCATGCCTGTAATCCCAGAACTTTGGGAGGCCAAGGTGGGCGGATCACCTTGAGGTCAGGAGCTTGCAACCAGCCTGGCCAACATGGCGAAACCCCGTCTTTACTAAAAATACAAAACTTGGCCAGGCGTGGTGGTGCACACCTGTAATCCCACCTACTCAGGAGGCTGAGGCAAGAGAATCGCTTGAGTCCGGGAGGCAGAGGTTACAGTGAGCTGAGATCGCGCCACTGCACTCCAGCCTGGGCAACAGAGCAAGACCCCATTTCAAAAAAAAGAAGAAAAGGCATAGGAAACCATGAAATTGTATCCCAGATATACATGACAGAATCTGAGGATTCAAAAAGACCTCCTTCAGGAAGTGATGTTTGG